AATCCTCAACAAAATATTAGCAAATTGAATTCAACCACACATTCAAGTTGGGGTGCACTGTCCCAGCTTCACTCCACCCTTCCCTTTTCCTCTCTGTGCCTGTCTACATCGGCTGTGCCCCCTGGTGGCAGTGGCAGTGGCAATATGGTGTGTGGGCCTCCCAGGACAAGGTAAAGCGACTGTGCCCTTCTCTTGCCTCCTGCCAGTATCTGCAGCCTGGCAGCAGCCCCCCAGGTCTTCAAGCAAGGGACCTGGAGATGTTCTTTTCCAATTTCTGGATTGAGAAAATGAGGCAAATTCTAGCATTAGAGTCAGAATTAGGCGAGGCTGAATCAGGGAGTCTGGGGTCCTGAGGAGAGACCTGGATCCCTCTGGAGCGTGTGGGGAGCTGGGTGTGTGTTCAGGCCAGTTGCTTCTCTCTGTGTCTCAGTGTTCCAGGTACCCTTGCAGGGGCTGAGATCCTGGGGACTCCTGGAGCCTGGCTGCAGGCCTGGCCACCCTGATGCCCTTGTGTTCTCCATGACAGGCCAGCAGGCCGAGGAGAAGCTCCAACAGCTTTCGTGTGTTCCATGGACCCACAACTGGAGCAGTAAATGGAGACCACCCAGAACCCGGTGAACTCCTATATGGCCATTGTCACAAGACGGTGTGGGACCTCATGGTTGGTCTCATTCCCAAGACCACCGTGCACCTCAAGATCAAAATGTGCATGCACCGCCTCATGGGGCAGGGGGCTCCTGTAGGACTGGAGACCCAGGTGGCCATGTTGGCCTGCGGGAGATGCCAACCAGCCTATGGGACCAGGTCCAGGGAGGGAGGCATGGTCTAGACCAGAGCTGTCCTATAGAAATGTAGCATGGGACTGTGCACAGTGGCCCATGCCTGTAATCCCAGCGCTATGGGAGGCCAAGGCAGGAGGATCGCTTGAGCCCAGGAGTTTGCGACTAGCTTGGGCAACATAGTGAGATTTGGTATCTACACAAAAATGTTAAAAACAGCTGGGCTTGGTGATGGCACATTGCTGTAGTCCTAGCTACTCAACAGGTTGACTTTGGAGGATCACTTTGAGCCCAGGAGGCTGAGGCTGCAATGAGCAGTGATCTCACCCACTGTACTCCAGTCTGGAAACAGAGCCAGATCCTATCTCCACAAAAACTTTAGAACACTGAAGAGCCAGGTGTCCTGGTGGCATGATAGGTCCTAGGTCCCTGCCAGATCTATAACCTTGGACAGGTGACTTCTCCTCTGGCCCTCACTGTCCCCCTCTGAGTGAGAAAAGGCAGTGCGAGGCAGATCTTCGACTCCAAGCAGTGGAGAAGCCACGTCTGAAAGCCATACCTGGAGCTCAAAGTCCAGCACACAGTCCCAGCAGGTCCCAGGGGGCGCCAGGCATCAGGTCCAAACTTCGGTCCCTCTTTGCCCACTCTCAGACCAAGGAGTTCATCTTCTCATAGCTACTGGCCAACCTGTACTTGCAAGAGGGCCAGAAAAGCTGATAGAGGAGCCTGCAGAGCAGGCACAGTGGCGAGTTGAGATGCTGTGCATGCACCACGTGCTGAGGGAGCCTCATCGGTGACATCAACACCACCACTGTCAACACGCCCATGGGGGCCCATGGAAGACTCCTGGCTGCAGCTGCAGAACGTCCCAGCTGGAGGCAGGTACCAGGCCAGCCCCCATGGCCTTAAAGCCCCCAGCCTTCATGGCTGAGCCTGGGTGGGGTTCTTGGAACAGGCTCCATGCCCAGGTGGCAGACGTGGGTGCTCTCTGGAGCTATCAGAGAGGGCAGAGATCTCATGGTGTATGGGTAGGGTCTGGGAGCTTGAAGGGGTTTGTGTGTGTGTGCGAGGCTGGACTCTGAGGCAGCCAGAGGCCTAGGAACGTCGTCCTGGGCCCGCTGTACCTGTCCTGCAGTGTGAGTCATGCTGCCAGCCAGGGCATCCAGCTCCCAGCCTGGGAGTGCCGAGAGCCAAATCCATTGCAGAGCAGGAGTGACAGAGTCTCACCTCCTCTATCTGTTGGCAATCCAGTGGTGATCTAGGATAAAAGCCTGAGAGTCCCATATACACGGTCATCCCACCACACACCTCACAGGCCAGGCAGGACACACAGCCTCCTCCCCTCCCTCCCAGGTACCATCATAGCTGCTAGTGTGTGATTGAAGCTGCTAGTGTGCCCCCACTAAAGCACTACCACCAGCGAACAGGCTCACCGCCTATGCTATTCAGCCAAGGGACCACAGTGCCTGCTGGCTTGGCTGAGCTCTGCCCAGTAAGTCCGCTACCCCCAATCTACCTATCCCCCCACATCCCCACCCACCGCCACAGGCTCTCTCTCATCTGCTTTTCCCCGAGGAAGAGCCCACCTCACCTATGAGACCTGCAGCCCCCAAACAGCTGAGCTCCCCACTTACACTTATAAGTTATGACTAGTGGCATCCGCTGCCTGCCCTCCCTGTCTCCCCAGGGTCCATCCCTTCAGAGGGTCCTGGGCTTTCTGATCCCCCAGAAGGCCTCGGGTGCTCCCTCCAGCCATCCAGGCCTTTCAGCTTCACCCTCCTGTTTCAGGCAATGTTCCTTCTCAATCAGGTCTGGTGGCTGTTGTGTGGGGCTCCCCAAGGTGAGGGTGGCCCTGGGCCATGGGTTGGAAGACAGGGTGACCAGGGAAGAGGGCAGCCCAAGGGTGGTGAACATGGGTCTAACTGTGGGTGCACTGCCTGGGTGCCGTGGGAGAGGCCAGTGTGTTTGGATGGGGAGGGCCACCGCAGCCCCCGGCACTACCTGTGAAGCTCCGGCTCCTTCCTCCTTCTTCCTTCCCTTTCCCTTCCAGCCCCTTTCCAGGAACCTTGCCACACCTGCACCTGCGCCCTCCCCTGCCCAGCCCTACCCTAGCTGCTGCAGCGCCCCTGCTCTGCGCTTACCTCACCAGCTCTCTCCTAGCTTTTCTCTCTCCTGTTTCCCTCTGTTTTCTCTGCAACTGCCAGCCGATTGGGACACGGAAGTCCATCCCATCCTGAGAGCCCCAGGTCCCCCTTCGACCTCTACACAGATCCCCCCTCCTGTCGGAGACCTCCCTTTCCAAGCCTGCCTGGGCGGCTGTTCTGTGACTCCCCCAGCCCCAAAGCCAGCCCCCTTCATCTGTGACTTAGTCTTTTGTAGCAGTGAGGTGACATATCCAGGTGTGACCGTCCCCCTCTGTGGCACGCCCCTGCCCTGTTCTAGAAGTATCTATAAACACTCACATATATATACACACCTACATATCCTGACTGCCTCGCCTCTGGCACTGGGAGTCAGTCACCGGGCTGTCCTTGTGGAGTCTTGTGGCCCAACAAGAGAAAGCTGTCCCCTGACATTGCCCCTCCAAAGTGCACCACCTCCCTGTGAGCCCCCTGTTGCCCAGCCCCGCCATCCCTCCCACCTCTGCTAAGCATGGAGGTGCTGTGCAGGCGCTCTGTGGCCTGACAGTCTTCTACCAGCCTGCTGTCCCTCCGCGGAGAGTCAACACATTTCTGGATGACGGGAATATGTCCTCCGTGGAGCTCATGGGAGTGGAAAGGCCAAGCCATTTCTGGGGTGCTGTTGGAGCCGTGAAAAGGCCCCACCCTTTCCAAGGGCCACTGTTCCTGGAAAGCCCCTGGGCTTAACTGGTTCTATCCTGTGAAGCCGGCTCTGGCCACTAGGGGCAGAGCCATGAACTCAGCTGGAGGGAGCTGCCCGGCAGCTGGCACTCTGGAGGACAGACAGAACAGGCCACCAGGCACGGAGAGGACAGGGAGGCCGGAAATGGAAGAAAGACACGTGAGGTGGATGCAAGTCAGTGCCCTTGGGTGCTGGTACCTGCCTTCCTGGCCACCACTAGATCAGGCTTCAGAGCCTGCTGGCTGTCAGGGCCGGACGTGCCATGGCAGTCCCCAGGAAATCTCCCAGGTGTCACCAGCGCAGCACACAGGTAACAAGCCTGGAAGGTTCCCAACAGCCAGCTGGACATGCTCAGACACTCTGGGGCTCCTCGTTCAGTGGCACAAACTCCAGGACCCAGTGAGGGAAATGGAATACACCAGGCCGAGCAGTGTGACTACATCCATTTATTCCAAATAAAAGCAAATAAACAGGAGTTGCATCACCAGGGAGCCACGGCCCATCCCCACCTCCTTCCTCTGTCCTCTGCTATCAATAAATAAGTTTCCCAGCTGCAAATAATTATTAAATCCTCTCCATGTGCCAGCTCCAACCTCTGCCAGGTATGATACAAGGGGCACCACAAACCCCTAAAATATACAACATCTTACACAGATGCAATATGTACACTGAAGAAGGGGGATTCCCCAGCAGCCTGTGCCCTTGCCTGGTCCACAGTTAGTGCCACTGTCCTGCCTCAGTTGCCTCTCTGAATAAGATGGGAGCCCCCTGAGGGAAAAGTTCCTTTGGTGAGAGGAAGGAGGCCATCAGGCCTCCTCCAAACCAACCAACAACCATTATCATCCAGAGATTTAAGGACTCAGCCCTGGTCAAGCTGGCAAAAGGTCTGTCTTTCCCCATTAGACAGGGGTCTTGGTCTTGCTGCCTTAACAATAAAGGGGTGACTGGGAAGGGGTGGCACATGGTGGGGGTAGAGACTCCAGTTCCCCCTTCTCCAGGCCTTGCTGACAGAAGCCTGCTGTTATTTATTTTATTTTTATCCCATGACTTAAAAAGAAAATCTCATAACTTCCTTTTCATACATTTATAACTTTTCATAAAATTTTTCTACTTTTATCCACAATGCTTTTTGCACAACTTTTCCATTTTTATCTAATGACTTTTTATCCCATAACTTTTAATCCCATAAATTTTATTAGTTTGTGTTCTTTTAATAAACACACTTGCATAGTTATATTACAATTTTGTTAAAAATAAAAAACAGATTATCTCATGCCAAGTGTGCCCAGCGTTTGCAGTCTCAATACCTTTAATACCATAGCTGTCAAGACGCACAAAATTTTAAGGCAGAAACAGCGCTTTGCAGCAACTGAATAATTTATTACATCACAGGAGCATCACAGCAGCAGTCAGTATTGCCGCTTTAGACAAAAGCCTCAGGATTTCCATCTTACATTCTGTTCACAGGAGTTCATACAGTGGTAAAAGTCATTCTTAGAAAACTTGGCAAATAAAGCTTTGGACTGGAATTGGCATTTCTTCACTTTTCCTTCCCCCTATTTCTTCTAAACTGCAATATTCATATTTTTTAATGTTTTAAGTAATTTCAAAACATTAAGAGAGCAGTTTTTTTTAATAGTTATTTTAAAATAACTCTTTAAGATAAAGTTTTAGAGAAACTATATTGTGAACAGGATAGGACTGATTTACATTTTCAAATTTTCTAAAAAGCAGCTTTGGTTTTAGAACTGAGTTTTATTCATTTCTGGAAACCTATCAGGTTTAATAAAATCCTTTAAAATGATTATCATATATTGCAATCTTTAAACAGGTATTTTGATTTTTCCTACAGAAATTCAAATTTGGTCAGTTGAACACACATTTTAAAATTCTGTGTTTTTGATGAACGCTAACCTTCTGATGTTGCCTTCTAAGCCAATTGAAAGCTGCCTTCTACTGAATGAGGAAGAGAACAGACACTTGGCTGAATGAAGTACTGCAGGAGACTCACGTGCACTTTGAAGAAAGACTTAAGTCACTGTCATGTGATTTCCGTTCTTTTAGATTTGTCTTAAATAGATGACAAAATGCCTACTCAGAGTGATATTTTGGTTAATATAGTAAATGTATTTTCCTGACTGCCATTCAGCTTAAACATGCCTGTATGGGATTTACTCCACAGGTACCTGATGAACACGTTATCATCAGATTGGGTACAGATGCTAAACACTATCTGAAGGTCATTCCTAGTCATTTGTATTTCTTAGGGTAAAAGTGAAGTGATTTGAACTATCAAAATCCCTTTGAAATAATTATCAATGTATTAGATAAACCCAGTTTCAGAATGATTAAGAAAAACTGTTAGACCAAATAATGTGGCTGATTAACAGGGGTACGATTTCTAGCCCGAGGGTTGAAAATGGACTTACAGTAACTATCTTTAAACTGAACTCAAAGAATGCAAAAGCGGCAAGTTCAGAAATAAAACACAAAACAGAACTTTAAGTCCATTTTAAACCCCCAGGCTAGAAATCATACCACTGTTAATTAGCCGCATTATTTGGTCTAACAGTTTTCCTTGATCGTTCTGAACTGGGTTATCTGATACATTGATAAATCCCTACAATTTGGAAGAGTCAGTTCAAATCACCAGGACCCAATATTTGTACTCTTTCAGGGAATGCAGGCAAATGTGTTATTCCATCTGTCAAATTGTATGAGTGCTCTCCTATTAATGTCATATTTATGAAAGTATCATGAAGATGCCAAATGCTAAACGTGGAGACGGTCAGTAACTAGTAATCTCCCCTTCAGGGAGCACATCTGCATATCTCCCTCCATCCTAACAATGGGACGTATTTTGGTACACGAACATTAGAACTTCATGAAGTTTCAACTGTTGATTCTGTCCCAAGCATCATAAAGTTATGATTTATGCAATGTCTGACTGAAAGAATTCATTCATAATGTAGAGACACATTAACATAAATCTTGCACAAAATGTGCCTCTAAGTGAAACTGAAAGGTATAAAAATGTATTTCTCTCTTGATAAAGAACTTGCTGAGGAAATAGAACTCTGTGATTGTTAGACACTTTTCCTGATAATACATTGACATTCACAAACAGTAGATGGCACTGCAGGCTATAAACATTTTACGTTGCATAAACTTCTCTTTGATTGTCAAATATAGTACAATTCTGTCTACTGAAACTCCTTTTTTTCCAGCCAAGTACTCTCACATATATTAGTTTATAATAATGTTTGTGATTATTGTTTAAAGTCCTTTTCGTTGAAGAAAAACAAGGCAATTCCTATGTCAGAGTAACCAAGGTGGTTGAAGAATAGGTATTAGCCAGAGGTCTGGACGGTCAAGTCAATCTCGCCTCAAAGAAGCTCCGTGAACACAGAGGGACGCCAGGTGTCACACGGCTTTCCTGCACTCTAGTCCATTCTTGACTACACCCTGTGTGCCTGTTCCAGGGACATTTAAACTTTTTAAAAATTTTTATTCAAATTTTTATTTTTTTTCTGGACATTTAAACTCTGAAAGGATTTTGTTGTTGTTGGAGATGTTTTATGAAAACAGACATTTTATCAGCAACTTGCTATGTGAACTGTAATCAATAGCAATTTTTAAAACTGTGAAATGATACAAAGGATAATCTCATCCGTGGTCTTTTTCTGTGTGCAAGGCACTCACTAGACCAAGTGTCCTAAAACATTAACTGTTCAGTCATCAATATTTAGTGCCTATCCATTCTAAGATACAAATTTCCATTCCTGTATATAATATATATGTATATATATATAAATTACACTTTATCTTAAAGGATTTCTTATGACCTTTACTAAATACATTAAGAAGAATGCCAACCAGTGCCCTTTTGTGTACTGAGACTTAGAGTCATGTGATTAAAACAAGTAACAGGAGCTCTGACTTTACAATGTATTATAGATGTAAATGCTCTAAGCTAGGAAAGGTTTTCCACATCCACCATCAAAGATGGGAGCCTTTTATTCCTCAGAAATCATCTCTTTGTAGGTCATAAAAAAAGAGTACAGCTGCTGCAGCTTATCATGCAGTATCTTCATGAGCCCAGAGCACAGAAAAACCCTAAAAGAACTACCATAGCGCAGCGCTCATTCTTGTCACGGGAACCAATGAACTACTCTATTCTGCACATACCAGCCAGAGCAGGCCGCTTTCCTCTTCTGTGAGATTTTAAAAGCTCCCCAAAATGTTATTACTCCCATTTGCAATACACAGAACATGGAAGAAAGGCTGTTTCCGGTTCTCGGCCTTTCAACAACTCTAAATGTCAGTACTCACAGCAGCACCTTACAAAGTAATAAACAGTGTGCACGTGAGGGCAAAGCACATATTGAGCTAATTAAGAGCTCACTGTAAATAGGATTTGATCAAATATCATAGCACAACATAAGCCAATTGTATCTGAATTCCATAATGAATACACATGCTGCAATAACATTAAATAACCATGGCAGCCTATTCCAAACTAGCGAGAATAGTTTTGTGCCAATAGTGGGTCTTTGTGTGTTTGAACTCCCACCACATAAGGGCAAACTCGATAGGCATGCTAATGACCTACGATTATCAAATTAAAAATGAAAAATTCTAAAAAATGCCAAAGTGAACATCAGTGAAAGCTACAGGAAGACCCACTCTCCTTTAACTTTTTACAAATAAACGATAGATTAGAAACACAAATCATCCCAAGTGGCTCTAACATTCAAATGAAGTAAACGTGAAGACTAACCCTATAACATTGTTTCTTTGTAAACTTCTGGGCCAGCTCTTAGCTGATCGTGATGTTTACCCGCTCCTTCGCCCACAGCCTGGTAAAAGCATGGCGTGGTGGGACTGCTGCCCAAGGGTCGGTGTTGCTGGCTGTCCTGCAGCTCACAAAGCAATGTGCCATCTGCTGTGCAGTGGGGTTCTGGTGTACCCCCCACTCCTGCAGGCTGCAGGCTGTCAGCGAGGATCACTTCACAAAGTTCTTTGGAGAGAGGGAGGCAGGGATATGAGTGCAGTGCCAGCCTCCCCTGCTCCTGCCTGCCCACCACGCCTGAGGGCTCTACTCACCATCCTTGTCAGCAGCACCAGGCTCCTGGGGGGCTGGGGCCCCTGGAGTGGGCTCATTAGCAGGGTGCTGGACGACCTCATGGTTGATCATAAGCTGCATCACTGGCCCCTGCAGCTCCAGCAGCTTTACCTGGAGATACGGGTGTTCAGCTGCCATGCCGGTGCCGGCACCCATGCTCACGCCCACCCTTATCCCCCTCACCCCTGCAGAGATGCTGTACACCTTACATTCATCCCCTCCTCGGCCTGCAACAGCATGCTAACATCGTTCTTCTGGTGCTGGGTTTTGGCCACTGCCCTCTGACGGTCATTTGGTTTGATGGACTTTCCTGTGGGAGGACAGGCTCAGACACTGAGGCCCCTCCCACCACCCTGCAGCTCCCCCTGCCCTGCCTGGCCTCCTGCTCACTTATCATGTCTCTCTCTCCAGAGAGCTGAATGAATCCGAGCTCTAGTTTTTCCACCCGCTCCTTCAGGTATGAATTCTCCTTCAAAATGTCCATGAAGTCTCTCTGGAGCCGAAATAATGGGGTCACATCTTGGGAGCAACCTGCCCCCTTCCCCACCCTTCTTGGCCCCTGCCAGGACTCACTCACCTGCAGCTGGTCGAGAGCTCCCTGCAGGGCCCGCTGGGTCTCCCCACACCCAGACTCGCTCCCAGTCCCTGTGGCTGCGGCCGCTGCCTCTGGCTCCTTCAGGGCCGAGGCCCCCAGCTGAGCCTGGTGCTGGCAGCACACCTGTTGTTTCTGGAGCTGCTCACAGAGCCGTGCCTGCTCCTCCTGGGCACTGGCTTTAGCAGCGTTCAGAAATGGCACCTGAAGGCAAGAGGTGAGGGTTCTTGTAGAGGCATACACAGGACAGACGGGGCAGGGAGGTGGAGCACAGCCCCTTCCCTTGGGGCCTCAGAGGGTGCACCTGTCAGTCACGAAGGTGTCTGACCACCGGCTCCCGGAAGGGATGAGAATCCAGAAGAATCAGAAGGCAGGGAAACCAAGAGCATAAGGGGGTCTGGGAGGGACCACAGAGGAAGGTGGCCTGCCCGGGCGCCTGGCCCCTGGCTCCAGCCCAAGAGACTGCCTCCCTTGCCTAGAACCCCGTGTCTCCTTCCACAGCCTCAAATCTCACATCCTCCTTTCCACCATTTAAACTGTAGGCCACAGACTGCTGGAAAAGCAGAGGGAGCCAATCACCATCTGCCAAGTGTGCTACATGCCTAACGCTTTCTACGAATCATCTCATTTATTCCTCAGCACCCACGCAAGGAAAATGCTAACTTCCTTTGGAAGGTAAAGAAACAGAGACTTAGAGATGCAAAGCAGTTGAATGGTGACCAGTGGAATCAAGGTCGGAATCCAGTTTGGATCTAAGGAGACTTTAGTTTTGTTTTGTGACAGAGTGTCACTCTGTGGCCCAGGCTGGAGAGTCGTGGTGCAAACTCAGTTCACCACAACCTCCACCTCCCTGGCTCAAGCGATGCTCATGCCTCAGCCCCCTGAGTAGCTGGGATTACTGGTGTGCACCATCACATCCAGCTTTGCTGTTTTTGTGGTTGTTGTAATTTTAGTAGAGATGAGGTTTCGCCATGTTGGCCAGGCTGATCGCAAACCCTGCCTCAGCCTCCCAAAGTGATGGGACTACAGGTGTGAGCCACCACACCCAGCATAAAGAGTCTCTCACACCACTGTCTCTTGCCCTATGACTAGGGGGCTCCATGCCTCGAGCTGGAATGATGATGTCCAGACTGGTGTCTGCCTCCCATGGCACCAGGAAGGGTGGAGGCAGGTTAGAAAAATTGTCTCCTTTCTCCCACAGCCATCAGAGCAGGGTTATGGCTCCCAGGTGCCTTTAGAAAGCCCATTTCATGGGAGGGCTAAACTCTCACATTTTACAGGTGGGAAAACAAAGGACTGGAGGGCTGGGGAGGAGGGCAGGCTCCCCAGGTGGGCAACACACCAGCTCCTCCTCTTGCTCCTGGAGCCCCTCCTGCTCATGAAGCCTCTCCTGTTCTCTCAGCCTCACCTTCGTCTCCCAGAGCCTCATTTTCACCTCCTGCAGTCTCTCCTGTTCCCGTGGCTCATCTCTCAGGTACTTGGTTTCAGTTTTTAGGTTTTCTTTCCAAGTCAGAGGGCCCTGTGGGTGCTTTGGGATCGGGGGTTCAGCTGAAAAAGGAAGCAGACAATAAGGGCCTCTGGATTCTAAAAAAGAAAAAACTCTTCTGGGTGCACAGCTCCTCTCAAGTTCCCCAAACCTGGCCTCACTGCTAATGATTCCTCACACCCAAATGGTAGCCAGTCTTCCAAGCCACTTTCAGATAGAGAGCACTGTGGGTGGCTGATGATGGGCACCCTCCCTCTTTCTGATGGGGACACTGAGGCCCATGGAGATGACAAGACATGCCATCTCCCAGCACAGACCTCTCTCCCTCTGCCTCAAAGCCCTTCCAGCCACCCACCTCCCTGGGGCACTCTAAGCCACCCCCACAGCCCTCTGATGCCAGTCCTGCTCCCGGGTCACGCCAGCCCCATCTTACCCAGAAGGTTTTGTAGGTGGGCAAGGCTCCCCTTCAGCTTCTCGATTTTCATTGCATCTTGACTTTTCTCCATTTTGAATATTTCAATCTGCCCAAAGAACAGCGGGAAAGGGCCCTGGAGAAGGCTGGTGGCTGGACAGGCTACCATCTCCCTCTCCGCCCCCAGCCCAGTCCTGTGACCACCCCTGGCTTGACTAGTCTCATTTTACAGATGCCCAGAAAGATCCAGTGACCTATCTAAGGTGGGGGCTGAAGGGTCAGCTCTCACTTCTCCTGCCATTGTGAGGATTTTCTGCTGCCACTGCACCTTCTGTGTTTTGAGTTGTTGAGCGTAAGCGTCTCTTTCTAGCTGAGCTTTCTTAAGACACTCCGTCACCTGCAGGAATGGACCCAGAAGTTAGGAAGGGCTGTCACTGTCCTCACCTGCTCCTGGCCACCTGGGCTCATCTTCCTTCCACATCCCTCCCTCTGCATAGTCTCACCTCTGCCACCTGCGCTTTTAGCAGTTCCCGCTCCTGTAGAAACTGCTGTACCTGCTGCTCAAGGACTGCTTCACGGCGGCTCGAGGGCTGGACGGGGAAGAGCGAGAAGCTTCAATCTGGAGAGCCTGGGCCATTCCACACAGTGCCCCTTAAAAGGGCTAGGGCTGGGCTTAATACACAACTCGGTCAGTAAAGATCAAGTCACGTCCAATCCCGTGGTCTGGATTTTAAAAGACCTCAGTAAAGTTGGAAGGCACAGGGAAAGAGGCCACAATTACAGCTGGCTAACAGAGGCCCAGAGAGGTCACATCATATCCTATTGTTATTCCTGTCGTTACTATCGCTGTTGGAACCTTTATTGAGTGTGTCACCAGGTAGCCTGCGAACAGTCCCAGTTAACCTCACAACCACCATGAGGGGCGGTTACTACCATTACCTCTATTGTGTAGATGGAAAACATGACTTGGCCAAGGCCACAGCCAGGTAAGGGCAGGGCGGGCATTTGGCCTCCAAACTCTGCGTCTGGTGCTGGCTCCCCATAGCGCCCTTCAATTCACCCACAGCAGCCCCAAGGGGAAACTGGAGCCCAGGATTGGCAGCGTGGAATCAGGGGACCCCACTGGACTCTTACCAATAAGTCGATGGTGTTATTCAGTTCACTAGTTGTGACTGAGCTCGAGTCCAGGGCTATTTGTACTTGGTGTGTGCTCTGAGGCACATGCGGAGAGGAGTTGGAGGAGGATTGAGGGAGAGGTAGAGAGAACAATCATTACGGTTGGGGTGTGTGGGGCTGTCTCGGCTGGCAGAGGGGCACCCAGCTGCCACTGTGGGAGAAGGGTGGAGGGCTGGCCTGCAGGGTCACTGTACCTCAGCTCAGGGCCTCTTACCTCTGGACCTTTCATGGTGGCACACGGTGCAGGGCCCTCCTTGTGACCACCTGCTGCTGACTACAAGAGATGAGAGTGCACATGGAGATGTTCTGTCCCCCTCAGTGTCCAAGCCTCTGACTTCCTTTCTTCCCATCAGCTGGCAGCATTTTCTGTTCTGCCTCCCTCAGACCCTTTGTCCCATAACTCCTTTGTGCCAGCTCCTCTCATGGTTCTGATCTCCCACCATCCCCCGCTGGGGCCCATTCAGTGACTCTTAAAGGGACAGCCTGACAGCAAATGGCTGTTCTCATTGGGCTGGCTTCCCCCGTGAGACTGGGGGTGAGGAAAACAAAACAGCAAGGACCATTTCCTGGGTGTCCTGGGTGTTTACAACAGGCCATGTACTAGGGATTAACAAAACAACAGCAATAACGAATCTCATTTCACCCTCACAAATGGAAGTCAGACAATATCACCTCTATTTCACAGATGTGAAAGGAGAGGCCCAAAAAGCTCAAGCAACTTGCCCTAAATCATATCCCTCACAGATGGAGAGGTGGGATTCAAACCCAGAATTCCTAACCAGTACCCAGAAGTTCTTCCACAACCTTAACAATTACCCTCTACTGCCCCTTGGGCCCCTTTTCCCCAGAAGCCTGGCCAGCCAAGACTCACATGGCATGGTGACTGGCAACCATCAGAAGCGGATGTCTCACGGCTACTGTTGTTTCTTTTCTTTCTTCTTCTCACTCGAGATGGAGCAGCAGGACTGTTTCTTTGTTGAAATTCTTTTAACTGTGGGAAAAAGAGCAGTAACGCCCATGAGAACTACAAATCCCTACAGTCACAACCTACTTTACAGTTTTTACAAAATACTGTTATACACCATCTGATTTAATGCCACCAACAACTCTATACTGTGTTGTCACACTCACTTAGTGACTGAGCAGGATTGATGTCATGACAAAAAAAAAAAAGAAAAAAAAGAGAGAAAGTAATACTAAAACTTAAACTCATTCCTCTGACTCCAAGCTCTAGGGTTTTGCCACGAATCAGCAACTGCCAGAGACCAAAACCACAGGCAGAGGTAGAAAAATCAACATGAAGTAGGCAGGAACTGTATGCCGTGTGGTTTAGCATCATAAAGCCTCACATGAGCACCACTGGCCGGGAGCGGTGGCTCATGCCTATAATCCCAGCACTTTGGGAGGGTGGATCACAAGGTCAAGAGATCGAGACCATCCTGGTCAACAAGGTGAAACCCCCACTCTACTAAAAATACAAAAATTAGCTGGGCATGGTGGTGCGCGCCTGTAGTCCCAGATACTCGGGATGCTGAGGCAGGAGAATTGCTTGAACCCAGGAGGCAGAGGTTGCGGTGAGCCGAGATCGTGCCATTGCACTCCAGTCTGGGTAACAACAGTGAAACTCCATCTCAGAAAAAAAAAAAAAAGAAGAGCACCAGTACCTCTCACACTTTTATATCAATGTGTCCTCATGGCAGAAGGCAGCCTTTCTGTTAAATCTGGGAATTCATCAGAAGTACGACAACCCAAGTCTTATTGAGAGAGGTCTGGTATACTCTTAGAAACCTATGTGACTGTCATCCCTAAGTACATTAATGCTTTTGCTCTCTCTAGAGACTCAAGGGAAACTGATGCTTCAGAAAGATGTCCCATGTTTATCCCGTGGCATTCAAAGTAGCCTGAGTTGCAATGATTTGAGGAAGATTCAAGCTGTCAGTTTCAATTTCCCAAGATCTGTTCCACAGAGGATGAGCAAATCTCACTCCAGAGGCCAGTGACTGAAGGGCAGTCTGGTCCCAAAACCATGGAGAATTTGAAGATGAGCTGGAGAACTCAGAAAGTAACGTCAAAGTCTCTCTGGAGAGTAGAAGCCTGAGAGAAAACCAAACCAAACCCATTCTCCCATTGCCACCCAGAGACACTGTCAATGTTTTGAGCTCACGAGGGAAGTGTAGGCTTTTCACACTGTCAAGGTCTATGTTAAAGGAGTGGGCAGCCTGAAACCTCTCGCTCCTAGGTCCCATAGTCCACATTCCCCAACCAGCTGGAAATGTGTGCTGGGACCAGAGGAGCCAGAAATGCTATGAGAATGCTTAGGGGACTGGGCGGTAAGATCAAAGGCTGGTCTTATAGCAGGAATGATGGTTCCTAGGGGGACTGTGACATCGCTACATTCCACTCCCCCTGGGGGAGGGGACCACATCCACGAGATGCCTGAGTCACTGCTCCATGATGGGGGAGGGGGATGCAGGGTTGGGACCCAGGTCCTTGGAGATGCCAGCCCAAAGAGCACAGGGAGGCCACCCTGGGGGAGGAGGAGGGGAGGGCAGAGTCTGCAGCAGGGATTCCCAGGAGTCACCAGCCCAAAGTCACCCAGAAATGACTGGTGAGGGCCGGGGCTGGGAGACCCAGGTCCTTAGAGACAGGAGCCCACAGAGCCCAGGGAGGTCAGGCTTGGGGCAGGAAAAGGTGAGGTCCAAGTAGGGAGCGGGGAGCCTCAGGAGTTACACATCCAAAGTCACCCTGGGGTGATTGGCAAGGGTAGGGGCTGGGCTCCTTGCTGAAGGGGTGGGGCTGACTGACAAGACGTTGGTAGGGGGAGCCCAGAGGCAGCAGGGTTAGGGGCCCACCCAGTCTGGTGTGTCTCAGAAGTGTTATGGACTGTGGCAGCGGTCTTGCTGTTGGAGGGGATCTGTGTGCATGTTACCTTTTTCCTAGCCGAGGCTATCATCTTGCGAATTTCTTCTGACATCGACATGGTGGGTGGCGGAGGGAGGTGGGGTTGGGGAGGGAGGTGGGGTTGGGGCCACATCAGCACAATTCAAAGGAGCACTGGTAAGCAGCTCCACTCCTCTACCAGGCAGCTGTGTGTCTGAGACAGAGGAGGCGTAACCAGGGCCACACTAGAATGTAGAACAGGGGCGTGGCCTTCATGCTCCAATCCCATTGGTCATGAGAAAGATGAAAGGAAAGGAGGCGTGGCTAGGCAGCTCCAGAGAGACCTGTGGCATCCCAAGGAAAGCTGCCCCTGCAACTCCTGTCCCCGCCCACTCTGAGAGGGGTGGGGCCACCCACTCCAGAAGAGCGGAAGGGCTGACTTTTGCCTTTGAACTTTTACATATACCAGAGCCTGGAGCCCAGTGTTTGGGGAGGTGACTGTATGGGGAGATGACAGTGTGGGAAACAATCCTGCCTAGGCCAAGGTCTCATGGAGCCCAGGGTTCCCTAGGGCCAGGAGAGCACTGGAGCACACCCTGACAACCACTGGAAACCTGAAATCCACACCTGCAGATCAAGAAAGGGGTTCAGTCTCCAATGCACCTGCAGCCAGGTGAGACAGGCACAGGTGGGTGCCAAGCAGATCTCCTGCCTGACCTTCCTCTCCTACCTCCCCCAAGCAAAGGAGAAGTGACAGCTGCCCATCAGCCCATTGCCTAGATTGAAGCCAATGAATCTGGGTTTCAACAGGCAAGTGTAACTTCTGACTGTCCCAGGCCTGGCCCAAGGCAGTCATGTCTCTGGTGAGGACGTGGTAGACAGATGTGATGTTCCCAATGGCTCTATAAACGTCTTGTTGAGGATAATCAAAGAAATGGGCAAGACCATCATGCTCAGCCAAGAACCTGTCAGGTCCAGAGAGAAGTCAGTTTGGTTCCAGGCCTGGCCCTGGAAGGATGGTGGACTGGGGGCAGCCACAGTGTAGGGGAATGGATGGCCATGGGCTGCGTGGCCAAGGCTGTCAACTCCTGCAGCACCTGCGGAACGTCAGCCCAGGCCTGGCTCTGCACTCACGCTTCTGCCTGGAGCCACCGGTGCCTGGGCAGCAGCCTGAAGTACGGATGTTGGAAGGAAAGGCACTTGTGGCCACATGTGGGCACCTAAGCATGGGACAGAGGGGCATCATGCCCCAAAGAGACCATAGAGGCCAAGAACTCAAGCAGATGTAACCCCCTTGTCCTGGGTCACATCAATTAGGTCAGAGCCTGTCCTGACCCTGAAGCTGTGGCTCAGTCTAGTTGAGACTCACGAAGAGGTTAGTGCAGGGCTTGGGGCCCGGCCCAGCCTGCGACATCCAGCAAAGCTGTGTGCTGGACAAGCATCTCTGAAGATGAGTCCAGGACAAGGACAGCTGTGCCTGGGCTGGGAGTGGGGGAAATGCCCAGGGGCGGGAGGCCTGAGAACCTTTAACTAGGTGGAATGCCAGGTCAGCATGTGCAGAAGCGAAGGTGACATGGCAGCAACTGTCTGAGGCCTGGCTATAAACCTAGGGGCCGCCTTGTCTAGCCTAAACCATGCTGCTGCCCAGCCACCATCCTTCAAATGCCAGAGGCAGGGCTGGGAGGGCCCCCAGACCCCTCTTCCCTCCCACCCTAAGCTGGTTCTCATCCCTCACCAGAAGGAAACTGAAGCCTTCTATGGCTCACAGACTGCCAGGTTCTCTGTCACCTGGTGGAAGGGGTGGGAGAAGCTGCAGCTGGGTGAGGAAGAACCCAGGTACCAGAGCTAGAAGGGATTTGGGAAAGTCTTGAACAGGGCCAGGACCTCAGCTCTGCCTGGCTATGGTGACTCTGAGCCAGGCAACCCTACGATAGTCTCAGTCTGTCACGGTCACACGGGGGATGTCGGCATTATTACCTTTGGAGTCAAAGTGGGTAATCCAGGGAAACCAGGGTTCCCAGTAGGGACCAAGACCAAAGGATGGAGGGGTCTGGCCTGTCCCAGAAGGTCAGGCTGGACGAGGGGCTGTGTGAAGCCCTGGCAGCCGAGGCCCTTGCCCTTCAGGTTACAGGCATCTGGGTCCTCGTCTAGATCCTCACATGCCATCCAGAGACCCAACCCTAGGGACAATTCCTCCCAGCTGGTAGCAGTGAGTCAATCCTGGTACTCACCCCACCAAAAGCTCTGAAATGAGGAGGCCTGTGGGTGAGGGTAAGACTCTTCACGAGAAGGTTCTCAGTGGCAAGAAAGGTTTGAGCTGTGCCTTAGGGAAGCCAGAGGGTAGGTAACAGGCCCCCTCACAAAGCCTGCCAGGGAACACAGGAGAAACACAGGTGTAGTGGTGGGAATGTTCTGGGAGACAGCAGGCAGCCTCCCACTCACTGATGGGACCGAGTGAGGTCAGGTCCACACGCCAGAAGCTGGATTCCACACACAATGCACTTTGTTTCTTGTTTTAGAGACAGGGTCTTGCTCTGTTGCCCGGGCTGGAGTGCAGTGGTGCAGTCATAGCTCACTGCAGCCTTGACCTCCTGGGTTCATGCAGTCCTCCCACCTCAGCCTCCTGAGTAGCTGGGACTACAGGTGCATGCCACCATGCCCAATTTTATTATCTGTAGAGACAGGGTCTTGCTATGTTGTCCAGGCTGCTCTCAAGTGATGTTTCCACCTCAGCCTCCCAAAACACTGGGATACTGGGACAAGCCAGCGCTCCTGGTTCTGCTGCTGTATTTTGGCTGCCTTGGTGCACAGGAGGTAAGAGCTGGGGGGCAGAATCTGCTCCTGGACCTTTCCCAGGTCTGCACCCAGACTGACCCCTGGGCTGCAGGAGGCAGGTGTGGAGAGAACGCAGCAAGCAGAGCCGGCCAGCCAGTGATGGAGACCCAGGCTGGGACTAGGAGACGGGGCTCCAACCCTCAGCCTAGTGGCCCTACCAAACCTTGAAAAAGAGAAATGAATGATCTAGTCTCAGGTATTCCTCTGGAGCAACGCAAAACCGACTGATACAGCCTCCACGCTTGGTGTCCACCGGACCCGACCACTCGAGGAAAGGCTGCTCTTGCCTCTGCTGTTAACATCCAGACTACGACAGAGTTGTTCCCCTGCTCTGCCTCAGTTTAACTCTCTCAGCTGAGCAGAGTAGGGATAATTGCTTCTCATGTGGGCCACAGGACAAAACAAAGCCCTGAGTCCCACAGGAAGGCAGGTGGGCCGTGTCCAAGGGAAGACATAACGGGGGAAATATTTTATGTCCTCGGGGTGGCAGAGGGTTATGGAGAAGATGCCTCTTTTGTGGGCAAAAGAGAAGGGAAGATAAACAGAGAGGTGCTGGACACCTGTCTCACCCTGACCTCCCCCACCCCACCCCAGGCCCATTCCCACGTAGCCCCCAGCTCAGGAGGCACCGTTCTCCTTAGGGTCAGTGGGACTTCCAGGCTAAGCTGGGGAAGCTGACAGTCCGGATTCATCAGGGGCAGACGTAGTGTAAGTGATGTGCTGGACGGAAGTGGAGAGGGGACACGGGAGCCGTGGTGTCAGGTCTGGGGCTGCCAACGTGGTACCTGCCCTGGCCATGGGCAGGCCACGCTACTCCACCCTGCCAGATGTGGCCTCTAATTCTAAGGCATCTGAGTTCCAGGCCAGGACTGGAGCCACACTCCCCTTGGAAACAAAGGACAGTCCGCGCAGACTTCACTGGTGCTTTGGGCAAAGGCAGCTGCACAAATGAACAGAAGGGGCCCTGCTGGAGAGTAGGAACGGGCCTGGACTACTCAGACCTGCCTCTGTGACAGGTCGGTCCCAGCCTTCCAGTCAGACCCCTGAGAAGAAAGCTCATTCAGCCAGGGAGTGGGAGGCGTGGCCTGCAGGATCCCTGGTGTCTGTAGCCCCTCCCACCCACATAAGCTCCAGAAAAAAAGATGCAGAAACAGCAGGTGTGCCTCCCAGCTGCAGGCTGCTTCCTGGTGTGGCCTCAGGGATCCCAGACAAGTCAAGATGGGGCTGCCAGCAGCTGGGGGCAGGGGGAAAGTGGGTCCCCAGGGTGGATGCCCAGCAGGGACATGCAAGTGTGGGGAGTGCTGGGTCCTCAGGGCTGAGCCCCTTCTGTCCAGGGGGTCTTGGTGAGAGAGAGGCCTGCTGCTGAGCTCAGCCCGAAGAGTCAGGGCCTGGTGACAAGTAGCCTCTCTGCTTGTGAAGACAGTCCAGGGGTCGTTATCCCTCTGCCCAGGCTCAAGGATCCAGGCTGTGGAAGGGCCAGCATTCAGAAAGAAGGGCACTGTGGGTGTGGGCTCCCCGGCAGTCAGGGGCCTTGGTGGACAGAGCCCCCTATGACGGTGAAAGCCCCGTTCTCACTCCACGGCAATGCTGTGAGAAGAGTTGTAGAGATTTGGGGTGTGGTCCCTCCCCACCCCCACCCTTGGGACACTCTGGGTTAATTAAGTGCTGACTTTGGTCTCGTCTTCCCCACACGCTCCTTGGGGCCTGCTGGGTCCCCACCCTCAACCCCAGGAGTCCCTCTCCTGGTCCTCAGCCCATGCAATACCCTTTGCCCTGGAGACTTCTTGAGGCTGCCACCTGGGACCCAGCCAGTAGACAGGCCACCTGGGACTCTCAGGAGTCTCTGTGGGAGAGGTGAGGGCTCCATTGAGCTCACAGAGAACTCTTAGGGGTGTGGGAGTGACCTTATGTCCCGTCAGTAGGAGGTGGACAGCCCAGGACACACTCCCTCAAGGGAGGTTGCTCCTCCATTCAAGACAGTGGCCATGGCCGGGCGCAGTGGCTCAAGCCTGTAATCCCAGCACTTTGGGAGGCTGAGGCGGGCAGATCACGAGGTCAAGAGATCGAGACCATCCTGGTCAACATGGTGAAACCCCGTCTCTACTAAAAATACAAAAATTAGCTGGGCACGGTGGCGCGTGCCTGTAATACCAGCTACTCAGGAGGCTGAGGCAGAATTGTCTGAACCCAGGAGGCAGAGGTTGCGGTGAGCCGAGATCGCGCCATGGGTACTCCAGCCTGGGTAACAAGAGCGAAACTCCGTCGCAAAAATAAAAGACAGTGGCCAAAATATAGGTGATGTGTGTCAGGCAAGCAGCAGGGCCACAGGTGTGCAGCAAGAGAGGGAGGGAGAGGAGGGAGGAGAAGGCGGAGGGAAGAGGAAGGATCTAAGGAAAAAGAAAGCACCTACTCCAGTCATGCGCTGGCCATGAGACGGACTGACAGAGCTGATGAGGCACCCATGTCTGCCCAGGGCCTGGGGGAGCCCCAGATTCAGAAACTCCACCTCCACTGCATTTCTTCCATCCCTGTAGGGGTAGCCTCACATGATCCCTCGTGGCTCACGCCCCCATTCCTCAGGTTGTGGGACTGAGTTTACGGGTTGCTCGATTTCTAGCCAGGCTTCTCAGCCCCGCCTGGGGATTTCCCTGCAGCAAACTCATCAAGACTCTGCATGCACGGTTCTGTCCACCCAGACCCCACTTTGCACATGACTTCCTAATTGTCTTCAAGGTCCAGTTTAGAAACCTCTTCTGGGTCCCAAGGACCCTCCCCCAGGTTGACACTGCAGTGGCCAATGTGTTGTGCTTACCTGTCCCCTCCACAGCCCAGGACTCTTCCTAGGCCAGTATGAACAGTATAAGGGGACAATGGCAGCTACCACTCCAAATCCCAGCCTAGTGTCAGGCCAGGCTGCTACAGGAGGGATGGCGCAGCTGGGCCCCACCACCAGGATGCCACACAAGTCTAACAATGACCCAATGGACTGGCCCCAGGCCCAGGTGGAGGGGGAAGACCGGCCCAGGAAGCTACCTTAGCTGCCCTGAGAACAAGCCTTTGAGGAAATCGAGCCCAGCTGGGGTAGGGTCTCTTTGAGGGTGGGCCCAGGAAACCACCCACCACTCACCCAAGCTGATGACAGTGGGCCGCATGGTCACCAGCAATGGGGAGGTTGGGAGTTCCACACAGACGGTGAAGGGCATGCTTGGCCCTGGGAGAGGGGCATGTGCTGGGGTCTAGTGACCAGCGTTTCTCAACAGGCAGTAAGCCACCGACCCACCACCACCAGGACCCATGGGGTCCCAGGAGGGAGGGCTTTCCCGGAGCAAGTATGCACGGGAGAGGGGCCCACAGAGCCAGAGCTGGCCACTTGCTGGAGCAGGTGCTCAGCACCTTCTGGACTGGGAGCAGGGAGAGCAGCCTGAGAGCAAGGGGTAGGTACACAGTGATGAACATGAAAGCCACCACCCCACACACAGCCAGGCCCCACTTCCGAACACAAGCCAGGTGCTTTAATGGCTGCCTCGAAGGCCCAGAGGCTCATCAACATCCCTTAAATAAGATCCAGAGCTCGCCAGCCTCTGGCTCAACTCAGCCCT